AGTGGCCCTTCATTCTTGGTACTCTCAAGTTAGTGGGCATTGATGATAAACTATGTAGACTAATTATGGTGTGTATTACTAGTGTTTCCTTCTGAGTTCTTGAGAATAGAGAACCTATTGATGAATTCCAAGCTTCTTCAGGTATCAGAGAGGGTGATCCTATCTCTCCTTACATCTCTATTTGGCTATATCTACTAGGATATATGGGTCTTAAGATGCCAAAAACTCTTTAACCCCATGAGCAGTGATGAGTACTAGACCAACAAGTCCAGTTTCCTTAGGGCCTATTAGGATCGAGATCTCATAAATAACTAAGTTTTATGGTAATTTTTTAGGAGAAGTTAAAGTGCATAGCAGATCCCAGGGTGACTTCATCAAGTTAGAAGTAGATGGTTCAGTCTTATCTAATGAAGATAGTGGATGTAGGGGAATTGCCAAGGACAAAAATGACAATTGGATAACTGGTTTCAAGTGCAAACTCACTAAGGTTCCACCAACCATAACAGAATTAATTAGAATCATACATGGCCTAAACCTTTGTTGGGCCAAAGGGTATAGGAACATTGTTTTGTTTTTCAACTATATAAAAGCCTTGAACCTACATACTAGAAGTTGTGTTAGTTCTCATCCATTCAGAGACATGGTTGAGGATGCTAGATTATTGTTACATAGGGATTGGCATGTTCTTATTAACGATACCTTTGGGAGCATTTAGATTTTTTTTTTTTAGCTAAATCTTCACACATAATGGTAGAAAATTTTTGTACGCTTACCTTTAGAGTAAGAGGAGGAGGTTGATGAAGGGGTTTAGGACTTCGTTTTATTGTATTGTCTTCCTTTTTTTTCTAATAAAGTTTCTATTAAAAAAATGTAATTTTCATAAAAGATATTGAGAGGATGGAAGATTCTACTAGACCTTTGACCTGGAAAGATAAAACATAAAATTGTTGGGAAACTGGTAAAATGGATTGGGTGTGGATACAGACTAGCCAGTGGCGGTGCTAGTTGGTCCAAGGGGATTTGGTGGGCCATTTTTTTTATTAAAAAAACTATGATTATTGGTGTGGGTTAGACTCAATTTAAAATGTTAAAATTAGACTTAGAGTTTTGAACTTGAGTAGTGGGTTATGATAAAATAATATGAGAATTAATTTATAATTTACTAAGATATTTTAGAAAAGCCAATATATATTTTCTTATAAATAATTAATTTAACTAATTTTCTTATCCAAATTAATTAAGTAGATCTTTTACACACACACACATACAACTATCACATGTTTATTTAATCTTATAAAAGTGTGTGTAGTAGAACAACAAATAGATAAAAATAAAAGATGGACAATGCTCTTTATATAACTATATATGTATATATAAAGTGTTTAATTGCATATGTAATTATATGAATGGGACAATGTGCATGTGAAATTTGAGGGTCAACATCCTCCAACTATTTTATATAATATATTGAGAACTGCATGAAAAATTTTTTTATTTAAAACAAAAAAGTGGGCCAACCTGCAGGCTAGACTGTGGTGGAGCATGCCTAAAGTGATATGGGCTAAAGTAGCCCACACCATGGTGAGTTGGGCTTGCGGCCTTGACCATATTACCAATAGTATATGAAATACGGCCAGCCTACAGGGCTGCGAGCTTAAACGGGCAAGACTTGCAAGGCCAAAATTTGAGAAATGTCTCATTTTGTTAAGCCCAACACTTAAACTGATGGGCTTAGGGCTATCCAATAGGTTTTTGGCCCGTTTAAGAAAAAATCTAATTTTTTAAAAAAATATTTTTCACATGTTTTATCCAAAAAAGTGAAAATAAAACAATGGAATTACTAATAAAAGGCATAAAGATGAATAAAATGAAGTCACAAATACAAAAATCATATCTAAATATCCATCAATATCCAAGAACATCTAAAACATCAATTAACAACAAGAAAACATCCAAAAATTCTATCAACGGTACAAATGTGTAATAGATAAACACTATCATTAATTTTTTTGAAACTTCATCATCACTATTATTAGGGGTGTGCATGAGGCCCGCATGCCCAATAAGCCCGCCCGAGCCCGCAAGAAAAATGCCCAGCCCAACCCAATAAAAAGCTGCCCAAGCAAAAATGGGCATCTTCGGGCCGGGCTGATTCACGGGCAGGGCAGGGCCGCGGGCAGGGTATGCTGCCCTGCCCATTTGGCCCTGCCCGAAAAAAATATAATTATATATATAAGATAATATTATTTCAAGCAATTATCTCTTTTATTTTAGCTAAAAAAAATAGGTAAAATTAGAAAAAATGAAAGGAACATAAAAATTATAATTATATAAAAGAGCTAAATATCAAAATATAAGATTCAATATGCTAAATTACTCCAAGTCAAATGTTCTTCTTTTTCTCTTACATCCAATTTTTTAAAACAAAAAAATAAAATAAAACCACCTTTCAAATTTTGTGCTTTCACATGATTATAAGAATCCACCAACTATATGGATAAACTAAGAAATTGAAATACTGATTTAGCTTAATTATTAAATATTCTAATTATTAAATATATTTTTTTTACCTCCCATAAGAAATCAAAAGCTAAAGAATAAGACTACATAGGCCTTATATATATATATATATATATATATATGAGTGATAGACTCATTCGTGATAATTTTTTTCCTCTCATTTGTCTCAAAACATGATAATTGATTTTTTTTTTTTTACATATGACATAGGGCATTGTGTCATTACGCTGGGCAGAAAAGCCCGCCCTGCCCAGCCCGCCCTTGCCCTGCCCAAAATGGTTAGGGCTTCTACTGGGCAGGGCCGGGCAACGGGCTGCAAAACGCAGCCCACTCATCTTTCGGGCTGGGCATCGGGCAAGGGGCTTGCCCTGCCCAGCCCTGCCCATGTGCAGCCCTAACTATTATTAGTTGCTCTTCTTCATGAGTATGCTCTTCTTTAGTAACAAAAATATCAAATTTTTCTTCTTCATAAAAATTTTACTTTTAAATTTTATAGTATATCTATTATTTTATTTTAGTTTGAGATGTATCGTTATTAAAACTCATAAATTTCTAATTCAAATTATAGAATCACAATTATATAAATATAAAAATACTCTCTTATCAAATATATATATCGTTTATAAATATCAACACATATTGATAAACCCTTTTTGTGCAGTGAATTCTTGGCTTAATTGGTAGATCAAACAGCAATTTTGTGATCTAAATGTAATTGTTCTCTGGGAAAGAAATAAAAAAAATATCATAACTGATCAAGTTAAGAACCAAGTGTCATATTTTTAGCACTTTTGGGCTGTGAACCAATTACTCCTTTAATTTGTTTTATCAGGCCCAGCCCAAAAGCGATAGGAGGGAGATAGTGAATAGTGGAGTGCGGCATTTTGAAGGAACCGGAGGGAAAGAGCACTCTGTTATGAACCGTTGGAAGAGATTTGGAGACAGCTCATCTCATCTTCACTACCTTAGATTTGCTTAGAACAGATCATCACCACACGGGATTCATTTCTTCCGTCTTCCATACACTTCCACTCTTGATCTGATCATCATCAACTCCTCCCTGCAATCACTTCGCTTCTGCAGCCTCCAATCTTTTCTCATTCTCTTCCACTCAATCTCCATCACTTCCACTATGACCGAAGCATTCTTCAGTTCTCTTGTGGTGCGAAGTCAAAATATGCGTGGCTGATCTCTATTGGTCTTCCTCGAAGTGTAGCCGAGCCTGAGTCTCCGATTTGGTAGGGAGCTGTCTTCATTCCTTAGTTCTATTCTAGATTTGTATTTTGAATTGGACGAGTTGTACGTTTCATCTTATGATTTCAGGATCTGAATTGGATTGTTATTCTGCTGGAACTAACGAAATGTGTTTGAGAATCGTAGAGTAATAATTCATTTGCAAGTCGAGTTGAGTTTGCCTCATTTGTTTTTTGGTAGAATCAATTTTAGTGTTGATTTAAATTCTATGATTGATTCGAATGATGTCCAAGATAATGTACGGTTGTGCTTCTCATAGAGCTACTAAATTATTACTATGCTTATGAATTTCAACTGAATTGAGTCCATACTTGTTATTAGACTGCTACGGTTTTAGAGTTTGATTGATGAGGGAGCTAGCGAGTTGTTAGCTCATACTTTTGATTCAGTGAGTGAGCTCCAATTCTTAAGGGTATGTTTGGCTCAATGAGAGGAAGGGGAGGGAAAGGATTTTAATGGAGGGAATGAGAGGAGAGGAGAATAGAAGGATTTTAATATTATCTTGTTTGGATTTATAAAAAAAGAGGAGAGTAGAGGAGAAAATATTTTAATATGGATAATTTTGCTCTTATTTTATTTAAGATATAGGCATAATGGTCACAACATGACAAAATATAGACATAATAGTCACAAGATGACAAAATATGAATATAATGGTCACAACATAACAAAATATTGCCATTTCCTTCTAAATCCTCCCAATTTTGGAGGGGAGGTTGAGGAGGGAAGGGGAGGAAAAAATTTTAAAATTTTCCCTCCTCTTCTAAAACTTGTGTGTTGCCAAATAAGAGGAAATGATTAAAATCCCTCCCTCTCTCCCTACGAGTGTGGAATTATTGTCCAATTATTATAATATAAATCAAATTATTATTAAATTATTATTAAAGTCCAAATTAACCTATTTTTTAGATTTAATTGAAAAAATTATTGTCCAAAACCAAATAAATCAAACTATTTTGTGGAATTTAATTCCAAAATGATAATAAAACTAAATATTTGAATTATCATTAATAACGTAAAGGAATTAATAATATTAAAATTATATTAAAAAAAAGTTTTTTTTAAAAAAAAAGACCTAAATGGGCCGGCCCGTTTAAATTCTCGACCCTACAAGACCAACCCTGTTAAGCCATTTTCTATTTGAAGAGAAAAATTCCTAGTCCGGCCCTCACACTCGGCTTGCTTTTCTTGCTCTAGTTACCTACTAACTGGGGATATACAAGAAGGATGCCAATGCCATCTGTCTTGAAAATGATTGGTTATGCATTTGATAGAAGAGTTGATTTCAGCTAAAACATTTGAGGAAAAAAAATTTAAACTTTGTGGTACTTATACTTCTGCCCCAAATTGAATCTATTGACATGCTGATTGAAGCCATTGAAAACTAAGGTTCTTACAGCTTCAACGCCTTGGTCCAATGCATCATCAATCTGTTAATTTAAAGCAACGAAACCAAAGTAAAATAAACAAGAGTGACGGAAAAAAAAAAAAAAAAACGATCTGCAGCACTCAAACAGTACCGACAAATCAATCATAAATTAATCAAATTTAGGGACAATCACCGGCAGTTTCAAAGAAAAAATATAATACTAAAAAAAATCCAATGACGAGTAAGTAACATGTACTTTATTGTCATTTCTCGTACTAAACTCATCATTCAATTGTTATAAGGCTTTTGGGTAGGTAAGCACATTCCTTTTTGTTGGGACCACACGGGGATTTTCCCTAAAATCTACAGGAATCCAAGCTATGCATAATATATAGGAAGTATGGATCACAGTGCTCAGGACAGAATCCGTGTTTAGTTTGATGTAAGAGATCAATATTTTTCTTTCTGCAAAGATGTTACCTTCCTTCTATGAAAATAGACTCTCAGCTTATTTAAAAGATGAGCAAAAAGGGTGTTCGTCTTTAATCCAGACTGTTCATATGCGAAATGAAATCCGATGCAAAATGTATCAAGTGTAAAATGGATATTTTGTTAGATAAATTATGTTGCTATGAAGTAGTTACATTTTGTTATGTAAATGCTCTCAGACTCACTGTATATATATCTCCTTTGATCAATAATAAGATAAGTCATTTTTCCGAATATTTTTTTGACCGAAATTTTTCCGAATATTCAGTTTCAAAATGAAAAAGTCTTTTAATTGCCAAGTTAAAAAATGATTATTAAAACTTAATAAGAACAAAAAACCCGCAATCTTACACTATCCATATAAAATCTTGACTGCCCAAATCTTATCTCCAAGATAAACACAATGTATCACCTGTTTACGCTCAACTGAACTGAAGCGTTGTAGAAGGTAAGCTTTCATGTCCATGTTTCCAGGGGGATTACCAATTCCTACAAATACAGCATCTGTTAAATCCAATACTGCTGTAATTGATATGAATGCAGCATTTTTCAGTAATAGAACACAAGGAATTTACCGATGCAAAGTCGAGGAAATGCACGAGAGCCATCCAAATGCCCAATTACATTCTTAACTCTGTAACAATCTAACACAGGTTACATAACTCTCATGGTATGATTTGCTGGTGGTTTATGGCGAGTATAGAAAAATATATTGCTACTGATATCTAAAATAACTTACTGTCAGAATGGTTTTGGCGTGATGCTTAGGGTAAATTTTGTTTATTAGATAGAGACCTAGGAGCCTCACAAAGTAAAGAAAGCAATAAAACCTCCTTTTAGAATCTTCGGTGTTTCTCTACAACCACTACATACCAAATCTTCACCATCAAAAGGGTAAAGTTCCTTCATCCAGTAATATAAGTCCCAATTTTGAAAACCACAAAACCCAAGGAAATACTAAAATTTATGAGATACGTAAAACTTTGTTCTTTTCTTTCCATTCTTACCCTCAAGTAAGTGCCATGGGAAAAGAGTGCATATTTAAATATCAAGGGTGAGATAGGTAATTCAGATTTTTCATAAGAGGTATTTTTTGAAACATGCACTGATTACATCTGAAAATTCCCATCGGGACTTATATTTTGAGACCAAAAAAAAGGCTGAAAATTGGGCCCTATTTTAAGGGACAAAGGAAGCATTTAGTTTTGACAAATTAGAGAGGACAAGAAATTGTTATAAAACATGTTAGAGGCAATTTAACATTACCCATTGTGATGGCCATGTCCTGCTTTAGGTTGGAGCCTTAAAATACCATTTGGAAGGCTCATCTCATCATAAACCTATATTGAAAATACCACAAACTTGTTAACCGTCACTATTTTATCAAACATTACTTTGAGCGTAGCAAGGTACAGAAAAACATACTAGTAAAATATGGCGCAAGGGTACTTTATAGTATGCAGCAAGTGGTCCGACCTTCAAGTACAGCACAAAGAAGATTATTACGTCAGGCACAGAAATTCACCTAAAAAGCCACAGAACAAATATTCTTCATATGATGAGAAATAAGACACATTATGTGATGGAAAACAAACCGATTCCCCACAAAAGTTCATGTATGTTTGAGGCTTTGCCAACAAAATTGGTACTTCTCCTATTGAGCCTGTACTGATCACAAGAAGAAATCTGAATCAGTAAATTGGGAGGTAATAAGAGGAAAGAAACTATAAACACACACACATAATGGAAGTAAGTAATGCACCTATTCCAATCAAGGCTTTTGATTGAATTGTGTTCATCAAAACCCCTTCTGCCTTGGAAATTCTGTCAACCATTTCAAATCCAACCTAATAGAAAGAAAATTATAAGAACAGACACATATAAGTACAACAGAACAAGCAGCATCACATATTGGTTAACACTTACATTGTGCCTAGTGCCATGGTATTTATTTCCAGGGTTACCCAAGCCAACTAAGAGCCATGGTGTATATTCCACTTTAGCTCCATTGTTGTTTTCCGGCACTGAAGAAGGAACTGAGCACCTTGTTGCAACTGAATGCTTTGTTATGTAACGAGGAAAATGCAGTTTGCCTGGATAGGTTACACAAAAGCTTGGGGCAGATGCTGCATACAACATTGACCTACCCTAAAATGAAAAATACAAATGATGATAAAAAAAATCACTTGATCAAATAGTTCAAATTCCTCTAAATTACACCACACTGAGACATTCCAAACTGAGAAAACTGAGTAATGCATAAGGGAAAATAAAGTTTGTGGAAGCATATGGGGCAGAAATCTCCAACTACTGCTCCCTTTTTCAATCCCCAACCTACCGGAAACTTCAACAACTAAGATTAGTTTTGGGCAAAAGTATAGACTTATGTCTCTTTAAGTTTAAGGTGAACTTAATTTCAACCCAAATGTTTTATTTCTTTCACTCAAGGCCTATTTTACTAAAAAAATTTCAAACTTGTCCTGAACCCTGCTCGATCATAAACACAAAGAATTTGATTATTCAGATCCTATGTAGCAAATCAGTAAGTTCCACCAAGCTACATTGTTTTCAATTTCTTACCGCACCAGAAACAGAACTTCCTAAATTTAACTTCAGGATTGTCAACATGGCCTTCCTTCTTCATCCCAGAGTTTCCCTGACCATCAGCTTACCTTGGAATTGATTTTTATCTCTCATAGATTCGTCACATAAAACAGATTGGATTGTTCAGTTGGATAAGTTTCTCACTCCTGTGAAGCTAAAAGATCCTCATTTATTTTACATTTATATCTAAATTCCCAGCTTGCTGATTTGAACCATCATTGAGCAGAATAAGAAGCAAGTAGCTGGTAACCTGAACACAAATCATATTTTGATTTTCAGGATATACCTCTGAAAAATATTTCCAGCAACCCATGCATCCTCCAAAGGCTGCCATTGTTGTCAGCAATTTGTAATACTTCAGATCCACCACTTACTCCATTATATTTAGTTGGAAATGGTTTTACATGGGCTTAAATTAAAAATGGCGTAGTTTTATTATTTCATTCATTTTAACCTCTTTAAATGTACAAACTTCAAAGGGAAGATTGGAAATGAAGAAAGTTGGGGCTACGCTAGAAGAGAGTCAAGAATATGTTAGGAAGCATGGACGCTAAGACAGTCAGGACACGACAGTAAAATAGGAACAAAAACTTCAAGTGTTCATATGCAAATTAATGAGCCGTTTTATGTCTATGAAATTATAACTAAAACTGCGACACAACCAAAATTTGAATTCTCTGACACGTATTGAAAACTTTCGTTTTCTGAAGTCTCCATGCCTAACAGCTTCCTGCACATTCACTCAGGATTTGCTTATCCTTTAGAGCTTTCAACATGCTCTTGCTCGGATATGAAACATTGCCAAATAAGCCATCTCGAATTTTTACTACCTCCAATAAGCAGGTTGTTTTCAAGAAACAGAACCTCAACGAAAGAAGAGTTTAGGGATTTCGAGACAACAGCGGTAGATGCAGGTAAGATTCGATAGTGATATGCTATGCAACAGAGATTAGTTTTAAATTCTCAAAATTCCCCACAATTTACCCTCAGCAAATCCTATGGGTGCCGCGTGTTAAGAACGAAAGGACGGAGACTGAAGCGAAAAAGAAAAGGAAGATGCTAACCTGAAATGGAAGATGCAAAGTTGCAGCTTCTGAAGCTTCCTTGGCTTTCCTGGTCTATTTCGTAGGATGATAAGTCTGAGAAATTGGGTAGAAGGATTAACTTCAAGCGAACCAGAGGAGCGTGGGAGTTCAGAAGTACCTGGGAAGAGAAAAATCTGTTGTGGCAAAATCGGTGCGGCGCTTTAAAGTTTAAATATCTTACGTATTATTATAATAATTAATACTAAAAAAAATTAAATTAGTTGTTTGTAATAAATAGGTGTTATCTTTTTTAAAATATCATTGCTAATCAAGTATATTATTGGCTAGAACTACTATTATTAGAATGATTATTTTAAAAAAAATAAATAAATATGAAAAACAAAGTGAATTGGGGTGTTATAATTAGAACCAAAATAAAAGTTAAATAAGAATTTATATTAAAAACTAGAGGTAGTATTTGATTTTTTTTTGTGAGAATTACAATCCGATCTTAAGGCAAGCATTTAATTACTTCAAATTGATTGACAAATAAAGAATAAATAATGACAAGTTTTATAATAATAAAAAAGATAACATGTTTAGGCTATTCACTTATTTTCAAGATTTTTTTATAATTAAATTTTTTTTAGAAAATATTTAAAAAAATTATAATTGAATTTTCAAAACCCTAAAAGATCATTTAAATTTGCAAAATTCTAAACAAGTTATAATGACTAAATTGAAATTTTGACATATTTGTTGAATTTACAATTTTACCTTTTAATTTTTTAAAAAAATCTCAAAGTCACAATCACTAGCAACCGGTGCTGAAGCTTCGGCCGTCGGCTTTTTTTGTTTGAATTTTTTAACATTCGCAACTTGATTACCAACTCTTATAACAATATTCACAATTCTATTAATACTCCTCCGGTCCTTATTATAAGACCCAATTTGACTTTTTATTTGGTCCTAATTATAAGACCCAATCCATTTTATCTCTTATATTTATGTATTTTTTTCAAAGATAATCCTTCTAATAATGATAGTTTTAGCCAATATACTTAATTAGCAAGGATATTTTAGGAATAACAACACTTATTTATTATAAATAATCAACTTAACTTACTTCCTTAATCTCCTCAAATAAGTCAATTGGGTCTTATAATTAGGACCGGAGGAGTATTATTTATCATGTGTTTTCTAGGTTTTTAACCGAGATTTTTTTTAATATTTGTAACATTATTGATACCTCGTGTTTTTCAGGGTTTTAAGCTAGAAATTTTTTAACATTTGTAATATGATTATTGACAATTCATATAATGTCATTCATAATTCTATTAACACTATTAACTATTTTATATTATATATTTTTAAACTTAGAGAAATTCTTTGACCAAAAAAAATTGGAAAAATTAATGAATGGTTAACCTGATGAAATTTTTTTTAACATTAATAACGCGTGGTTAATAACTCTTTTTGAGTCTCACAGCTCGATTCACGTTATATGACATGTTTTTAAATTAATATTACTAATTTACTCTATGTTTTAATTTAATTGAATAAGTGAATATTGGGGTGACTGATGATGGTACTTGAGGTTTTTCTTAAAAAAATAATAATAATAAGAGCAACATTGTAAATTTATTAACATTTTAAAATTTCAGTTTAGTTATTATAACTTATTTATATTTTTGTAAATTCAAGTGAAATTTTGAAGTTTTAGAAATTCAACCACCAATTTCTTTTAGAATTTTTTTGATAAGTCCCTTTTTTTGGGAATTTTCCTTTTTTTTCACGTTAAGAAAGTTAAAAATTGATACTAGCAATGATGATACTAACTACGGATTCTTTTGCCAGGTAGAATTAAGTGGAAAATACTTAATTAAGCAAGATTAATGGTTTGAACTTTATAAATGTTAAAAAAAATCGTTATTAGAGATATTACAATTGGGCTTAAAAATAAGAATAACAAATTTTCAATTATAAAAATCTGATATTTTTTCTTTAATAAGTCTGTTTCTTATCAATCAGCTTTAATATTATTTTTGAGAAATTAATGAGTTGGTTTGGCACTGATGTACTTTTTTTTTTTTTTTTTGGTTCTTATCACTATGATAATGCAGTCATGCAATAAGAATTTAAACCAACCCAACATGTTAATTCAAATAGGGATCAGTTGCACCGGTAAACATGTTTTAAGAGACCACTAATTCCAACCATACAGGTCACCGGTAAACATGTTATATTTAATAGAATCGACCCCTTTTTAATTTTTTTAGAAAGGAATTTCAAATAGGGATAAATGAGTCATTTGTCTTGGCTGAAAAATTACGCATGTAAGAGTTAACAAATAAATTGTATATGAGAGAAGAGACCACTAAAGTAAAAAAATTAAAATCGTTCACCTCATGAACAACTTCACTTTTTCGACGTCACATTCAAAAAACAGTTCTTTGAGTGAACGAGTTCTGCATAAGTTTAAAGGGGTGTTTGGATACCCTGAAAAGTGATTCTCAGAAGTACTTTCTGTAAATCGAGATAAACTCCTCCACATATTTACCTCGTAGACCATAAAATCACTTTTGAAATCATAGTTTGGTTTCTATCCAAACACCTCCTAAAATTGTTCCTCTAGTGAACAATCGGCATTTTGAAAAATAATTCCCATCATATAGCATTTGGTTTAGGGTAATGTCAAAGGAAACATTGAAAAGGCCTAATGACATTAAAAACAAAAGATCAAGTACATCATAAGGGTAATGTCAAAGGAAACATTGAAAAGAAATTAGGGTGTGTTTAGATAAGTGATGACAAAACTGGCTTTTATTTCATCTGATTTTTGTAAACGTGGGTTAAAGTAGAAGTTAATTAGTGTAATATGATTTATATTTAGATTAACTTTTATAAAAGTCAGTTAATAAATTAAAACTTGTTTGGATAAATAATAAAAAAGCAAGTTCAGATATAAAATGATTGAAAATGGTACCACATTCTCCAAACTAATTTGCTTGATTTATAAATTTATTTGTAATCTAGTAATATATATACATATTTTAGAGAGATCATGTAAGATACGATATAATCAAATAATTTATTTAGCTTTTATAATCTCTTCAAATCCACTAGGTCTTATATTGAGGATTTAACACAGCATATCACATGTATATAATTTGATAAATTTAGAAAAAATAATAAATGAAAAATAATTAAATTATTACCGGAAAAAAATCATATTATTAGATTAAGATAAGACTCACTTATATACTCTTATTATTCTCTTCATTTTCATTGTTTCTCTCTCTGCGTTAGACACGGAGAAAGTTAAAATCCCACCCAAACAACCTTCAGTCTGGAAACAAGTCTCAAACTTGCGTTTCACAGGGTCCCAGACACTTTTCCTCGTCGAAATGGCAATCCCAACACGCTGTCAGTAATTACAAATGAGGGAGAATTAACTACAACTACATTAAAAATAATAAACAAAGGAAGAAAGGCCGAAATATCTTCCGAAAAAACATTTCCTGTGCCTATCCTTTTATTAGCCACTCCACTTGAGCACATTGTTTAATTGACGCCAAGAGTTTGTAGTAATGTGGTTCCAAGAGAAAATAGTGAGGATTTAATGATTCAAGAAAGAATGAGGAGGTGTTTTGATATAAACCAAACCATGGTTTCAGAAGTGCTTTTACGGATTAATAAGTAAATATGTGGAGGAGGTTACCTCGTTTTGCGGAAAAGTGATTCTGAAACCATGGTTAGGGGTGTTTGGAAAACCAAAAACCATGGTTTCAGAAATACTTTTCCGCAAACGAGGTAATCTCCTCCATATATTTACTTCGTAATCCATAAAAGCATTTCTGAAACCATGGTTTGGTTTCTATCCAAACACCTCCTTGGTTTTGCCAAACACCCCTGAAACGAAGACACTTCTAAAATGATCATCCCTCGCTTCAAGCCCATTGAACATATTGGAGAGGCTGACCTTGAAAACACGCCCACTAATATCACAGAAGAACACACGTCTTGCTTTCGGCTGTATGTAGTATTATGACCCAACCATTAGAATTAATGATTGGGTTCAGATGCAGCAAAAAATAGCTAGGAGCCAAATGTGAATTAACCAGATTATGAGTGAAGGCTAAATTAGAGAAGGACAATAAATTCTTGATCTCTCCTGCGACATTGAGAGGATTTGAGATACTCTTCTCATGTCATCGAAGCCTATGTTTCTCTTCCTCCACATTCATGCGTATTTGGTACTTAATTAATTTAGATTCATATGTCATTGGATTCTAAATAGATATACCTCCTTTAACATAACTTTTATTCAAAAAGTTAAAATTATGCTTTTGTTTCAGAAATATTCAATTTTTTTACGCGATCTAATTATCATTCATACATTAGCCATTCTATTATTGTTAATACAGCACGCTACTAAAGTTTGAGACTAGTAATATGCAGATTTTCATCAACTCAAGTTCATGAGGCACTTGAATCAGCTGATCAGCTCTTAGATAGTGATCATTTTTTGCCTCATAAATCCTCGCTGGTATTTTTGTGTCAACGTGAAGTCAAGAAAAACTTTCACATAGGGGCAGTTAGTATCTCCCCATGGTGATCCAAGTCCTTTCTGACGAATATCCAATTCAAAATCTTCCATCTTATACACATTATAAATACAAAAAAAGGGTACAAGAACATGGACAATTACAGTATGGTAGGATACCATAAATCCAAGGACATGGACAATTGTTTCCTTCATATGCGTTCCACATGCAACACCATCACTTTTATAAGCTCTATGGCTTCCATCAAAGCTCTAACTTCAAGGATTCCTCAGTTCAGTTCCATGGTGATATGTCTACATGTTACATGTTGGATTTCCTTTCCCATCTCTCCTTAGTATCAAGCCTACAAATGTGACAACAACAATTATTGTGAACAGATCACATGAAGTATAGAAAATCCAAGCCATACACAAATCAAACAGATAAATTATTAGAAATTGATAAGGGTCCTAAGCAGTGCATGGAGTTAGAGAAACGAATTGTACTGAACATGGCTCATAATAGTAGGGCAGGAAGACATCCAATGCAATAACCGTTTTAGAAGCCTTTCTAAGTGATTTG